TTCTTTGTAGTCAATTAGTGCTAATGTACAAAAACATTATTTTTCTCACCTACACCTCACAACAACTGCAAGCACCTGCAGTAGATTATTTCATAATGTATGCCAGCAGTCAGTCAAGGTATCATAAATCACTCAGAAATGTGTATGGTGTAATGTGACACGTTAGAAAGTGGCATGGATTGACAGTGTCTGTGACACGTCGATTCATCTTTGTAGTGCTATTTCAAAACTGTAACAGGATGTTGTGATTTTGAGAAAATAGACTAAACAAAATAACCAATCTGTGTCATGCAATCACTGAGAAATTCTATAGTAAATATGTTTGATAATGATAGCTACTACAATAAATGCACAACTGTATGATAAGCCGAATAAATAATATTGACAGAAATAATGGTCCAAAGAGATTAATCGCTTTTCCTTGAAGGTGTCAAAATCAGTAATGAGTGAGTGAATGAGTTTGGTTTTACGCCGCTTTTAGCAATATTCCAGCAATATCACGGAGGGGGGACACCAGAAATGGGCTTCACACATTGTATCCATGTCAGGATTCGAACCCGGGTCTTCGGCGTGACGAGCGAACGCTTTAACCACTAGGCTACCCGACCGCCCCAAATCAGTAATGACACTCTATGTAGGTGTGTGGTGCTACAGCGTGAGGCAAACTAAAGGATGTGGTTTTGTGTTAGGTTTTACAGATATAAATGTTTTTGCATTGGAGTTTAGTCGTCAACACTTATCGTGTTCTAATACTTGATATTAACATGTAAATGTCCTGATCCCCTACTTACTTAGAGTATACAATGTGTGAGGAAGCACTTTGATCTGTGACGAAGCTATGTGATGTATGACGGAGCAGTATGATGCGTGAGGAAGCAGTATGTGTGAGTGAGTGAGTATGGCTTTTCGCAGCTTTTATCAATATTCCAGCAATATCACGGCAGGGGACACCGGAAATGGGCTTCACTATTGTACCCCTGTTTGGAATCGAACCCGGGTCGTCGGCGTGAAGAACGTTTTAACCACTGGGCTACCCCATCGCCCCTGGAAGCAGTACATGTATGTAAAGTAAAAGTATAATGTGTGAGGAAGCAGTATGCTGTGAGGAGAACGCATTATTTTGTGTGAGGAGTAACATTATGTGCTAGGAGGCAGCAAGAAGTGTGAAGAAGACATGTGAAGTATTAAAAAGCAGTATATGTCGAGAAAGGAATGTAACGTGTTTAGGAAGCAGTATATGGCGTGGAAGGAGTGTAACGTGTTCAGGAAGCAGTATATGTGAAGAAGGGTTGTAACGTGTTCAGGAAGCAGTATATGGTGGAGAAGGGATGTAACGTGTTTAGGAAGCAGTATATATGAAGAAGGGTTGTAACGTGTTTAGGAAGCAGTATATGGTGAAGAAGGGATGTAACGTGTTTAGGAAGCAGTATATGGTGAGGAAAGGGTGTTAAGTGTTTATAGGAAGCAGTATATGGCGAGGAAGGGTTGTAACGTGTTCAGGAAGCAGTATATGGTGAAGAAGGGATGTAACGTGTTTAGGAAGCAGTATATGTGAAGAAGGGTTGTAACGTGTTTAGGAAGCAGTATATGGTGAAGAAGGGATGTAACGTGTTCAGGAAGCAGTATATGGTGAGGAAAGGGTGTTAAGTGTTTATAGGAAGCAGTATATGGCGAGGAAGGAGTATAACGTGTTTAGGAAGAAGTATATGGCGAGGAAGGGATGTAACATGTTTAGGAAGTAGTATATGGCGAGTAAGGAGTGTAACGTGTTTAGGAAGCAGTATATGGAGAGGAAGTAATGTAACGTGTTCAGGAAGCAGTATATGGCGAGGAAGGAGTGTCACGTGTTCAGGAAGCAGTATATGGCGAGGAAGGAGTGTAACGTGTTTAGGAAGCAGTATATGGCGAGGAAGGAATGTAACGTGTTCGGGAAGCAGTTATACTAAGGAAGGAGTGAGACGTGTTTAGGAAGCAGTATATGGCGAGGAAGGAATGTACCTTGCTTAGGAAGCAGTATATGGTAAAGAAGGGGTGTAACGTGTTTAGGAAGCAGTATATGGTGAGGAAGGAGTGTAACGTGTTTAGGAAGCAGTATATGGTGAGGAAGGTGTGTAACGTGTTTAGGAAGCAGTATATGGCGACAAGAAGCGTTACGTGTTTAGGAAGCAGTATATGGTGAAGAAGGAGTGTAACGTGTTCAGGAAGCAGTATATGGCGAGGAAGGAGTGTAACGTGTTCAGGAAGCAGTATATGGCGAGAAAGGAGTGTAACGTGTTTAGGAAGCAGTATATGGTGAAGAAGGAGTGTAACGTGTTCAGGAAGCAGTATATGGCGAGGAAGGAGTGTAACGTGTTTAGGAAGCAGTATATGGTGAGGAAGGAGTGTTACGTGTTTAGGAAGCAGTATATGGCGAGTAAGGAGTATAACGTGTTCAGAAAGCAGTATATGGCGAGGAAGGAGTTTAACGTGTTTAGGAAGCAGTATATGGCGAGGAAGGAGTGTAACGTGTTCAGGAAGCAGTATATGGCGAGGAAGGAGTATAGCGAGATTAGCAAGCAGTTTGTTATGTTTGTTCAGTTACGTGAACAGTAAGATGTGTGAGAAATGTGTGTCAAGTTTGTGGGGAAAGTTGTCCTCATGAAACCAGGGAACCTAAAGGTGGCCTGCTAATGATCGTCCTTCTACTATGATTCAGTGCATGCGCAAACACTCAAACATTTATATCCCTACCGTTTATGGCATAAAGGTTTGCCTATTCGTCAAAAAGAATGCCCAGGTGCAAAAATATTATCGGAATAGTTCCCGAACACATTCGCTGAGATACAAACTACAGGTACAGGTACATGTTGCCAAGTGACCTAAGACGTCGAGTCCCACTGTACAGAGTAGCTCCCCTTTGCCATGACAGAATCTGCTTGTCGTCGGTTCGACTCCCAGATTCACCCCGATTGTGACCCCATGTGTCAGCACCATACCCATGTGTCAACACTATACCCATGTGTCAGCACCATTGCCATGTGTCAACACTATACCCATGTGTCAGCACCATACCCATGTGTCAGCACTAAACCCATGTGTCAGCACCATACCCATGTGTCAGCACCATACCCATGTGTCAGCACCATACCCATGTGTCAGCACCATACCCATGTGTCAACACTATACCCATGTGTCAGCACTATACCCATGTGTCAACACTATACCCATGTGTCAGCACCATACCCATGTGTCAGCACCATACCCATGTGTCAGCACCATACCCATGTGTCAGCACCATACCCATGTGTCAGCACTATACCCATGTGTCAGCACCATACCCATGTGTCAGCACCATACCCATGTGTCAACACTATACCCATGTGTCAGCACCATACCCATGTGTCAGCACCATACCCATGTGTCAGCACTATACCCATGTGTCAGCACTATACCCATGTGTCAGCACTATACCCATGTGTCAGCACCATACCCATGTGTCAGCACCATACCCATGTGTCAGCACCATACCCATGTGTCAGCACCATACCCATGTGTCAGCACCATACCCATGTGTCAGCACTATACCCATGTGTCAGCACCATACCCATGTGTCAGCACCATACCCATGTGTCAACACTATACCCATGTGTCAACACTATACCCATGTGTCAGCACCATACCCATGTGTCAGCACCATACCCATGTGTCAGCACCATACCCATGTGTCAGCACCATACCCATGTGTCAGCACCATACCCATGTGTCAGCACTATACCCATGTGTCAGCACCATACCCATGTGTCAACACTATACCCATGTGTCAGCACCATACCCATGTGTCAGCACCATACCCATGTGTCAGCACCATACCCATGTGTCAGCACTATACCCATGTGTCAGCACTATACCCATGTGTAAACACTATACCCATGTGTCAGCACTATACCCATGTGTCAGCACTATACCCATGTGTCAACACTATACCCATGTGTCAGCACTATACCCATGTGTCAGCACTATACCCATGTGTCAGCACTATACCCATGTGTCAGCACTATACCCATGTGTCAGCACTATACCCATGTGTCAGCACTATACCCATGTGTCAGCACTATACCCATGTGTCAGCACCATACCCATGTGTCAACACTATACCCATGTGTCAGCACTATACCCATGTGTCAGCACTGTACCCATGTGTCAGCACTATACCCATGTGTCAGCACTATACCCATGTGTCAGCACTGTACCCATGTGTCAGCACTATACCCATGTGTCAGCACTATACCCATGTGTCAGCACCATACCCATGTGTCAGCACCATACCCATGCTTGTTGGTTCACCAAGGTGGTAAGTGTCTAACACCTGCTTTACTTGTGTTTGGCTTTCCGCCCACATTAAACTGAACGCCGTGAAATACAAACACCAGACAAAGGAAAGTTCAAGATTGCTTCACCACATTGCGACGTGCATGTACATTTGTGTGAGGCTGCTTACATTGGTCCAGATTTAAGCCGGTTTTATAGTGCTAGCCCACTGAGGTACCATGTCACAGTTTAACATGAATACCCCACTCACACCCAGTATACTGACTCCGAGCCGTCAAGTTGTTTCCATAAATGCCGAGCACAAGGCAGGATACAACATGAACTGTGCAGGTTAGCTTAGTCCACTATATGTAATATTTATTAACACGTTATCTAAAAGCTATACAAAGATATGGAATCAACAGACAAAGGAATCAAGTCACTTAAATACACATCATACCTTCAACGAAATCAAATTGCTATCTCTGTCTTGCTGACGCCTTTGTTGACAAATGCCGAGTAATACCAGCACAGATTATCACTTTATCATATCAGTGTTAGCTTGGCGCGCAATGAGGTCTATAAGCAGTTAACGACCGTGGAATCCAGCTATGTATAAACTACAATCAATAATTCGATCTTCTATGTCCACCCAACTGATATATATAACGCATCGCCGATATCCCCACAGATAAGACCGAGTAGAGATTAATATGAGGGGTGGAAGTGCTTGAAAGTGTATTATTTATACATTTACAATATTATGACTCGCTCCCTCAGAGAAAATATACGAGTTTGTCCTCAAAGGATCATATACCTGTCAACACGTCTTATTTGTCATCGTAATTTCTCGTCATTGCGACAAGTCAAAGGCTTGAGATCGCTGGACAGGTGAGGTGAGTATTTTCTACCTCTCGTTCTTTTATACTTTGACTTTATTTTCATTCAGCTTTGTGATTTCAGGGTACAGCTTATTGCAGATGTAATATTTTTAATATTATACATGTATGTGCATGTCGAATGGGTGGCATATTTTACACGATTGCATGTCTATATAATAATTTGTGCACGGGTCTTGAGGTGGACATGGGTTGACGTTACCTCTACGATGGTATCTGTTCCCCGATTACACACACACACGAACGCATGCATGCATACTTCTCCGCGAGCGCAAGCAATTATTTGTACACTTTAATAGATGTTCCACATGACTGTTCCGGCGTAGGAGGCCCAACTCAATCCCCGGCTTAAGCTGAGATCACTCGGGGGGCACTTGGGCCAGGCTGAGATCACTCTATAAGGTGACTTGGGACGAGGCTGAGATCACTCTATCAGGGTAACTTGGGCCAGGCTGAGATCACTCTATCAGGGTGACTTGGGACGAGGCTGAGATCACTCTATCAGGGTAACTTGGGCCAGGCTGAGATCACTCTATGAGGGTGACTTCGGACGAGGCTGAGATCACTCTGTGAGGTGTCTTGGGCCAGGCTGTGATCACTCTATGAGGGTGATTTGGGACAAGGCTGAGATCACCCTATAAGGGTGACTTGGGCCAGGTTGAGACCACTCCAGAGATGCAAATCAAATAATATACATTGTATTCTCAAGAAGAAGGACCAGTTGAAACATAACTAACATATACCATATTTGGTTATTTACAATTGTATAGATGCATCTTATTATCTTCATACGCCGAAGTTTGACATAACCCTGATTTGATTATAATGATCATAAAAGTGGATTCGTTGTCATGCACACCTACTCAAATAACAAGGTGTGTCGACAATTGAACAATCAGCTTCTAAGATTTCCGGTAACAAGGTCACATTAACATATGAAAGCTTTACTGTATGCCAAAACTGAACATGAGAAATAGAATACTGTAAAAATGTAAGGGATTGATTTGAGCCCAACGGGGAGGGATCTGAACCTTGAGTGAGTGTTTTAAGCTGAGTAGGGTTGACCTGAAAGCTCTGTAGAGTGATCTGAACCTAGGCAACACCTTGTCCAAATGGACCTGAATATGTCGACTTGGTGCAGACAGGATTTCATCGCTGTACATTTACGACATCTAGCTGATAGAGAAGCAGGTGAACCAGAGATCTACGACGAAGTGTAGACGAGTGATTTACGGCTGCCCGAGCCCGCTACAAAATGTGGTCGAATCTACAATAGGCCTTGATTATGACCTTTGTTCACGGCTTTCTCAAAAGAATCAACGAGGTTGCACTGGCTATCTTGTATATTGGCTCTGTACGCTTCACGTGTGTACGTTAGCCTGGAGACATGGGGCGTTAAATATGACGTTTGTGATTGATAGTAGATGGTGTGTTTAGGTTGTGTCCTAAAAACCCAGACACGCCGTTAATCTGTCAAAAAAAAAAGCTAAAACAGAAGATGAATATTTTCATACGTGCTGTATCTCTCAGTGTACCACTCGCTGGCATTTCAGTGTTGACACGAGGTGTTCCTAGAACAGTGTCACATTACAGACGAGGTGTTCCTGGAACAGTGTTACATTACAGTGTTGACACGAGGTGTTCCTAGAACAGTGTTACATTACAGTGTTGACACGAGGTGTTCCTGGAACAGTGTTACATTACAGTGTTGACACGAGGTGTTCCTGGAACAGTGTTACATTACAGTGTTGACACGAGGTGTTCCTGGAACAGTGTTACATTACAGTGTTGACACGAGGTGTTCCTGGAACAGTGTTACATTACAGTGTTGACACGAGGTGTTCCTGGAACAGTGTTACATTACAGTGTTGACACGAGGTGTTCCTGGAACAGTGTTACATTACAGTGTTGACACGAGGTGTTCCTGGAACAGTGTTACATTACAGTGTTGACACGAGGTGTTCCTGGAACAGTGTTACATTACAGTGTTGACACGAGGTGTTCCTGGAACAGTGTTACATTACAGTGTTGACACGAGGTGTTCCTGGAACAGTGTTACATTACAGTGTTGACACGAGGTGTTCCTGGAACAGTGTTACATTACAGTGCTGACACGAGGTGTTCCTGGAACAGTGTTACATTACAGTGTTGACACGAGGTGTTCCTGGAACAGTGTTACATTACAGTGTTGACACGAGGTGTTCCTGGAACAGTGTTACATTACAGTGTTGACACGAGGTGTTCCTGGAACAGTGTCACATTACAGTGTTGACACGAGGTGTTCCTGGAACAGTGTCACATTACAGTGTTGACACGAGGTGTTCCTGGAACAGTGTCACATTACAGTGTTGACACGAGGTGTTCCTGGAACAGTGTCACATTACAGTGTTGACACGAGGTGTTCCTGGAACAGTGTCACATTACAGTGTTGACACGAGGTGTTCCTGGAACAGTGTCACATTACAGTGTTGACACGAGGTGTTCCTGGAACAGTGTCACATTACAGTGTTGACACGAGGTGTTCCTGGAACAGTGTCACATTACAGTGTTGACACGAGGTCTTCCTGGAACAGTGTTACATTACAGTGTTGACACGAGGTGTTCCTGGAACAGTGTTACATTACAGTGTTGACACGAGGTGTTCCTAGAACAGTGTTACATTACAGTGTTGACACGAGGTGTTCCTGGAACAGTGTCACATTATAGTGTTGACTAGAGGTGTTCCTGGAACAGTGTTACATTACAGTGTTGACACGAGGTGTTCCTAGAACAGTGTTACATTACAGTGTTGACACGAGGTGTTCCTAGAACAGTGTTACATTACAGTGTTGACACGAGGTGTTCCTAGAACAGTGTTACATTACAGTGTTGACACGAGGTGTTCCTGGAACAGTGTTACATTACAGTGTTGACACGAGGTGTTCCTAGAACAGTGTTACATTACAGTGTTGACACGAGGTGTTCCTGGAACAGTGTTACATTACAGTGTTGACACGAGGTGTTCCTGGAACAGTGTTACATTACAGTGTTGACACGAGGTGTTCCTGGAACAGTGTTACATTACAGTGTTGACACGAGGTGTTCCTGGAACAGTGTTACATTACAGTGTTGACACGAGGTGTTCCTGGAACAGTGTTACATTACAGTGTTGACACGAGGTGTTCCTGGAACAGTGTTACATTACAGTGTTGACACGAGGTGTTCCTGGAACAGTGTTACATTACAGTGTTGACACGAGGTGTTCCTGGAACAGTGTCACATTGCAGTGTTGACACGAGGTGTTCCTGGAACAGTGCCACATAACAGACGAGGTGTTCCTGGAACAGTGTTACATTACAGTGTTGACACGAGGTGTTCCTGGAACAGTGTTACATTACAGTGTTGACACGAGGTGTTCCTGGAACAGTGTTACATTACAGTGTTGACACGAGGTGTTCCTGGAACAGTGTTACATTACAGTGTTGACACGAGGTGTTCCTGGAACAGTGTTACATTACAGTGTTGACACGAGGTGTTCCTGGAACAGTGTTACATTACAGTGTTGACACGAGGTGTTCCTGGAACAGTGTTACATTACAGTGTTGACACGAGGTGTTCCTGGAACAGTGTTACATTACAGTGTTGACACGAGGTGTTCCTGGAACAGTGTCACATTGCAGTGTTGACACGAGGTGCTCCTAGAACAGTGTCACTTTTTTGTGGCAGGCAATTTCTTTCTTTTTTCAACAGTCTGAAGCATAATCACTTTTTCAAATTAAATTTGTCTGTGGTCCCAGAAACATGGATGCCGTTCCTGTTATATTTTGTGGCCCATGTTACACGCAAGTTGTCCCTAGTACATGCATGTGGTCCTAGATACATGGATGCCGTTCCTTTTATATTATGTGGCCCATGTTGCACGCAAGTTGTCCCTAGTACATGCATGTGGTCCTAGATACATGGATGCCGTTCCTGTTATTTTATGTGACCCATGTTACACGCAAGTTGTCCATCGTACGTGCACATGGTGCCTGTGAAAAATAGGTGGCCCCTGATACCTGAATGTGGTCCCTGGGGTGTGGAGACGCTGGGAAAGGGAAAGGGTAAGGGAGGTAACTCGTATAACCTAGAAACCAAAGCCACCGCCAGTTGTTAGGGACATGAAGACATCCTTGAAAGATTTTTTTATGGCTTTCTTTTGCGTGTGAATCAGTTTTTCGATGTTGAATTTCTGGCAAACCTGATCACAATCATTTGGACTGGCCAACCCAACATTGAGACTGGTTTGCAACTCGCATTCTGGTACGTTAGACCTAGTAACGTATCCAATCAAACTGGCTGCTTTTAATTAAGGGCAGGTAATGATTGCAATTAAGATTGCGAGAACCAGGGGAAAGGATCCTGGGGTTAGTGTAGGTTTAACGAAATGCGAGCCCTGGAGATATTGTGGAAATTCGCAAAATAGCCGACATCAACACACACAGCTGAGGAAGCGAAGGTGCTACTGTAAGCGTTCTCTTGATAAAGTGTTAAGTACACCCTCAGAGTGTGAGTTTGAGTGTGTGCGTGTGTATGACACGGCCGGGGATCGAACCACCGACGTTCTGCTCTTCGGACAGACGCTCTATCCACTGGACGATGGGTCGAGACACTTATAACGTAATGGGCATTATAAAAACGTCATTGGTTCGCTTTAAGCCCCGTCCCTTTTTTGTTTTACTTCTTCCATATCCTTTCCGTTTATTACAACTGCGGCTTTCATAAATTAGCTAGAAGAAGTTGTTACACGAGGGGTACAACAGTGAAGGCCTCGGGGAAGCTTTCAAACAGTTTTATGGTTGACATGTGGAGGACATTTCCAAATTTGACGCATCCGTCACAAAGCTTGTATCCGATGCTATTCCTTTTTTCGACTTGTACCATGTGTACCCCTGTTATTTCAGATGAACGATTGACTTGCCTTTGCATGTGTTTGTGACGGGTGTCACCGGTGGAGCAGGATACGCTCACTTTTTTCGCGAAAACCTGTCATCACTATTTGATAGTGATTCATACACATGCTCATGATATAGTCGGAATCGTACAATCGCCTTTGCTTTTGGCAGATATTTCTTGCGAATATGGAAAGGGTTTTCTCGATTTTATTTACATTTTAACTCGACTTTGTGTATCAAGATAGGAAGTCTTGCAGTCTATATATTGATTATGTTTTTGGGGTCGATCATTTGATATTCGGTGGAAGGGGGCTGTGATTTTGTCGAAAAATATATACTGACCCAGGAAATGCTTGAAATATATAAATAGTACAATTAAAAAGAAAATTGTCTGCCACCAAAAGTATATTAAGGTAACATGTTTTTTTAAATATTTAGGTTCATAGTTTTAATTAAAAAATATATGTTTTGGCAACTGTAACTTAAAAGTATCCTTACATTATCCAAGGCCCACATCTATCAAATGGTCGGTCCCTTAATTATATTATCCCAACAGCATAACATAACGACATGAGTCGTGAACAACATATTCAGGTTTAGCACCGATTAGACAATTACGATCATGCTGACATGTATTCTCTTGCATCCGACATTTCACGTGGCTGTGTTGTGCCCCTATTTCACTACAACCACGAATGTCCCGAATCACCCCGAATAGGAAATTTTTCATGTTCGTAGATAAATCATTTCTTGAAATTCTTAAATAAATCTCATTTGATTCCCAAACATTCGTACAGTTCGCGGGAGTTCGTCGAGTCGGCAAGAAAGTTTTTGTTTGTCAAATACTTTCGTGGAAGGGTCCCCGAATTCAGTTTCATGGGTGTATCGTAATCAATTCATAATTAATTATTATGTTCCGTAACAGCTTCGTAATCGATTATTTTGCATTCTTGGCTATTCTTAGCGATTCGTGGCTCCCAACATTTCGTGTCCTGAACCCGAAAACATCCCAAAACAGCCACGAATGTCCCGGGTCCACTACGAACCATGTAAGAATTAAGTGAGAACATCACTATTCCACAAGGACCAGGACCAGAGCAAAACGTGCTCTCCGTTGAACCACCTTGGGGGAAATAATGGGTTGGCCAGCCTTTCGGGACCCAATAACATGGGACATGCCGAAGTGTCAGGAATAGTACCGATTTTCGCAAACTATTCGTAAATATGTCGTTATAGTCGTATCTTATTCGTTGCGATCGTCCTGCATTCGTACATGCTTTCGGCATATTCGTAACCTAGTCGCAGGTGATTCTTACAATTCGTGCATGATCCGTTCATGAATCTTCTAATTCGTACATGTTTCTTAACCCATTCCTGGCATTTCTTTTCATATTTTTCAACCCGATTAGCCACGAGTTTTCGTAACTGCTTCGTACCTCCACGGACGTATATACATATACGTCTTTGGTACCTCCTACCGATTCTCCACGAAAGTTTGCATTATTGCCCGAATCATCGCGAATTTCGAAAGTTTCCGATTCGGTGTGATTCGGGATATTCGTGGTCGGAGTGGAAGGAGATGATGAGGTAGTTGTATAAGCCTTTCGTGAAATGAGGGATATTTGTTTGCGAACGGTGTTGTGTTAATCGTTCAATACATCAGTATTTCTGTATTTTCATTTGACATACACGTCAGTTATATTTCTTGTCTACATTCGCTGATCTTTCATTGCAGAAGTGACGGAGTGTGTGCACAATGGGACGGGGGAAACCTCAAGGGAAGAAGACAATGGATATAAGAATGCTATTAGTGGTTTTGTTGATGACTGGCTTGCTGTCAGTGTTTGTCCTGTTGAATTACGCTCAACAATCTTTACACGATCGGGAGTTGACGCAAAGGCTGTCTATGATGACGTCAGCTCATGGTTTTACACAAGATATCGATGCACATCACCATACGCAGATCCAACACATAAGCCGGACCAAAAGGCGAAACTTAGATAGAAGCAGTTCTGAATCTCAAACGGGATTCCAGAGAGTTGGAGACACTCTCAACACGTATGTGTATTCGGCAATATACGACGACATTGATGTCCCTATAATCAGGGTAATAGCATTGGTTAGACATATCCAGGATGCGAGGGAACTGCCATCATTTGTATGCACGTACTTTAATGGTTCTGGACAAACCTCTCCGGTCACGTACAGGGGAATACTGCAGTATGTACCAGAGCCTAAGTGGGGATACAGGTAGGTTTTACTTTGACTTAATTTTTTAAATAATGATCGGGCATGTAGGGTGTCGTAGTCACAACATGAAAAACTAAACACCTTTAAAACTTAAATAGTGTAAACGTCTGTTATCCACAATGTGAATTTAGAAATAAACAAAGAACAACTACTCTCGATACTCCACCAAAACAGATATAAGTGAAAAGTATATTAATGGATCACTGAAATGAGAATGAATGACGATTACACAAGTGATAGTTCTGTCTTGCCAACATCCTCTAAAGATCAATTCGTTTACAACAATTATAGCAAGAAATTGCCAGAACTGTGTCGTCCTATTGGTACCCATACTTTAAATGGCATATTGGGTAACGATACAGTTGGTGAATTTACATGTGCTGCCAACAATTGGTCCAGTGTTGTTGGCTACATGTTAGCATTTTCCTCTTAAGACCCATACTTTACACATCTTGAAGTTGGTACGCTTGATTACACATGCCATTTATCCACTGTCTTGCACATTAAACATTGAAATAAAAGAGACGAAACCCTCTCCAGATTCATAAGATTCACATGTATGTAAAATTTGAGGCATATATTCCATATTTCATGTTTATACGTGTACCATTGTCTATAACCAATTCTACTTATACTGCGCAGGTCCCTTTTAAATTATATATAATATGTAACTCTCTTTTTAGCAAATTTTATGATTCAAATTCAACATTTCAATAGGGAGTAATATTTTCTCTTTTCTAATTTAAACGTTCTACTTACAACTGCCATCTAATTTATACCATCTCTTTGATGAACGATATAGTTGTGTACGAACAAAATTAATAACCTTCAACATATTTTACAAATGAGATCAATGATCCTGAATTCACCAGTGTAAATTGGTCAAAATAGTTTGTTATATAGAAATAAAACACCCCGTTCTTCACTCTTATAACACAAACATACATGACAACATTTGTTGCAGTCAGTACAAAGAACAGATACATATGTTTTGGTCGAAATTTGTTCCTTTAACAACATCATTCATGCATATTGTGACCTTTTTGTTATTTTGAAACTTTGAGCTAATCCATGTAACTCTGTTCTATTGACTTTCTGTTATAAATATGGTTTAATGGTCTGGGCAAGCTGTGTAACGATAACACTAGTCTTTCTAGATCTACTTGATCCAAGGCGTGATGTAACTGCACACCTATTGTCTGAAACTCGGAAATAAGTAGGCCTAACGCTCTGTTACCTGATATGGCCGCACCTACCATTGTGTTATGATCAAGATGCTCAGTCAACAATAAACCCAGGTAGCTGTAACAATTAATACTTAAGCCTAACTACCAATACAAAACTGTTGTGTGGTTCTTTGGACGCTAGGATTTCTAAAATGTACAACATGAGACTTATCAGCGTTAATAACAGTGTCATTGGTTTCACACCAGTTATTCAATATTTGTAACAATTTGTTCAAGTCATCTTCAGATTCAAATAAAATAACATCATCAGCATAGCTAAGACAGAAATAACAGTACCATCAATATTAATGCCAAATTTGGAATCAGTCATAGCATTCAGCAAGTCATTGATGAAAAAAATAAACATCAAAGGAGGCAGTAAACACCCTTGTTTCAAGCCACGATTAACATCAAACCAGGACGTAAACATACCATTCTCTCTCACACTACATTTAACATTGCAATAAAGTGACTGAAGCGCCACCAGCATGTTTCCATTTACACCAACATCGTGAAATTTATGCCATAGCAGATTTCTATTTACACAATCATAGGCTCTTTTTAAATCTATAAAAAGAAGTAAAAGTTTATTTTTTTCATACGTTTTTTAGTTTCTATAATTGAATATACTGTGTGAATATGGTCCATTGTGGACCTCTTTTTCTGAAACCATTAACGACCAAATACAGGAAGTCGATATGTAACCAAAGTCATGGTCCTGTTGAGACGATTGACAAGTTAGAACGTTGGAGCAAAGGGTAACTTCAACATAATCCCAGTAACACTATCAAAGACACCATCACCCATTACCGTCCGAGAGACAGTTCTCAGCTCTATCTTGTGGGATCAATCGCTTTTAACATGTCTGGGAATAATCTCACTTTAAGGCACTTGGTAAGTCAAAACTGGGCGCCCTGGTTATGTTTCTAGGTTTGACAGCATCATACCTGTGCTCGTGGATTTCAGCGACAGATATGATTTGTTACCTAGATGTTATCAAAATAAGACAAATGTCTTAAAATTCCAGATTGTAAATAGTACAAAAATAAGTGTAAAAATCTATCTCTGTTTATGTTTGCCTAATTGAACACAAAACTATGCACTGTAAATTGTAAATAATCTACCTTGCTGCAATGCAACTTAAATATATTCAAGTATGATCTTCACATGTCACTGTCCGTGGCCTGAAAAGCAACTAAAGTTATGTCTTATGACCTCTATAATCCCTGCTGACACTATCATAATGTTCAATTTCCATCTGCCACACCAAGCGTGAATAAGCGCTATACACGTGTTGATAACCCCACTGACGCAATTAATCAAATGAATATTTGTTATGGGCATGACCTAACAGGGGCGGGGTACCTAGCTTGTATATAATGTTTGTGGATATGAAACATTCTAATTAATTGTGGATACACTGGGCACAAACACACATAAAGCGAAAACTCGACAGATGAATTGGCATTGTATGAGGCAAAAGAAAGTGTCGTCCGTTTCGCTTTGAACCACTCCCAACTCTGTCGACAGGAGTTATCTAATCGGAGCGCAAATATCTGTGTTGAGTCTATCGCGGTGTCAGTGTCGACAGATTGTATGATAGATGGGAAAATTTTCATTGAATATCGTATGTTGTTATTATAAACAGTCCTATTATTTGCTGATATTACCGACAGTAAGTCAGGTTACTGGAAGATCCACTTTCTGTTACATTTCTTATACACGCTTAACAGTTATGTTTGTGGAAACATGTACTAGAAACATGTAGAAGACATATGTTGTGTATTAGATGATGGTTGGGCTCTGAAATGTTAGGACGTTAGATCACGATGGGGGGAACATTAAAATGTTTTATGATACACGAGGGTTGTGGACACTGGCTGGGATACATCAAATCAAACGGTTTAAAATCAGTCACGGACATGAGAAATTAGGTTAAAAAAACAATATAATAATGCATAAATAACAGTACAGAAGGTCATGGTGAAACAAATTGAATTAGCTTTTAATCGGGACTGGTTGTACTCAACAGCTTTCCTGTGCACATGCGGTGTCCAAGTATACGATATTGCACAGACACTACAAAGCTGCTTGAATATACTACCTGTGTAAAACATTATGACACTGAGAACTGAGGAGACACGGGTTACTCGCATTCACACACGGAAGCAAAGTATAGTAGATATAGTAATGAATGAAACTTGAAATGTTACAACCTTTGGCTCCCATGTGGTTTCTGTGGAGGCATTGTAGTGTAAGTAACACAACAAGAAGTGCCTACATTGTATATAATATACATACAATGTTTTTAAGTAACTTCAACACATTTATATGAACAATAAGATGATTAATAAGTCCATGGATATGCTTTGTTGCAGGTTCATTATTTTGTTTCCATCTTAAGTCATTTCCAATATCCTCCACTGGCCACTAGAAACAATTAAGCAAAATGTATCTCATCTTTGTGAGATGTGTATGCAATTCATACAAAACATTAATATTCATTCACAAATATATTGATGGGTGTGGGGAATTGACCCTCTTTTCGTAGTAAATTGAGGGGAAACGTCTGTGAAGGGAGGTGTCCAACCAAGGATCGATACATTCTGAATGACAAGGTATTGAAATAAAAACAATTTTGGTTTGTTCATTTCATGCACTTAAATATGATGTGGACTAGGAAATAGGTTTCTTCATGTATGCCTATCATTGCAACCCTTGTGTGGCATCTCTGTATATTCACATGTATTCACATGTATGTATAATTTGAGGCGTGCGTATATTCCATATTTCATGTTTATACGTGTACCATTGTCTATAACCAATTCTACTTATACTGCGCAGGTCCCTTTTAAATTATATATAATATGTAACTCTCTTTTTAGCAAATTTTATGATTCAAATTCAACATTTCAATAGGGAGTAATATTTTCTCTTTTCTAATTTAAACGTTCTACTTACAACTGCCAGCTAATTTATACCATCTCTTTGATGAACGATATAGTTGTGTACGAACAAAATTAATAACCTTCAACATATTTTACAAATGAGATCAATGATCCTGAATTCACCAGTGTAAATTGGTCAAAATAGTTTGTTATATAGAAATAAAACACCCCGTTCTTCACTCTTATAACACAAACATACATGACAACATTTGTTTCAGTCAGTACAAAGAACAGATACATATGTTTTGGTCGAAATTTGTTCCTTTAACAACATCATTCATGCATTTTGTGACCTTTTTGTTATTTTGAAACTTTTAGCTAATCCATGAAACTCTGTTCTCAGTTCTATTGACTTTCTGTTATTAGTATGGTTCAATGATATAGGCAAGCTGTGTACCGATAACACTAATCTTTCTAGATCTACTTGATCCAAGGCGTGATTCAAAGGCGTGTATCAGCTGTGCACATATAAACCAACAAAAAACATTGCTTCACAATTGACCAGGTAAAGTTCTCGATTTAATTTTGACAACATGGTACCACTGTGGACAAGGTATGCGTGTACGAACGCTGCAAATTCGTTTATGAGATTGTGCTTATAACTTAAAATAGTACACAAAATAAGTACCTTTTGCAAAAATAGAGCCACAAGGCTTTGTAGCTCACCTGACTTATGAAGTAATAATTTGATAACACTTCAACCTTATTTTGGTTAGAATTATCATTAAACCACCCGCATGTTATCAGAAATGAGCGGGTAAGTTCACATTAGTTGATGTCTTTATCGCACATGAAAACCAGACACTTACATTCGGTATAAACGAAA